TAACTAGAGGTAGCCATGTAGTCCAGTCTTTCCAGAAAACAAGTCTTCCAGCACACCCAGTTCACGGTCCCTTGACCTGGGAAGTATTCCAATCCTGTTAACATGCAGGAGTATTCAGAACTGACCATTGGATGTAGAGGGGAAGACTTACTATGCGCCTACTTTCTGTTACTTGTAAGGGTTTTAACAGGTGAGACCAGAGACCTCGTGCTTGGTAGAGGGTCAGCACCAAGAAGGAGGAAGACTATAAGTGAGATGGCTTGACATAACAGAATGAGCTCAAACATAGCAGTGATTTGGGGATGGCATAGGACTGAGCAGTGTTTTGTTTGGTTGTACACGGTGATCGCTATGAGTCTACACTCTGCTAGAGTCTATCAGCTCAGCAGAGTTGGGACTACTGACCCATGAGGGATTCGAGCTTCAACGTTTTGAAGAGAGAGCAGGAACTCAATGCCAGAGAATGAAATGCTGAGGTTCCCACTCAGGTCTGTGTACCTTCACAGCCATTTCCTTAGAGATTGGCCCATCTCCTGATCTTCCTAAATGGAAGATCCAGGCTGGAAGATGTTTAGAATGGCTCTCGGTCCAGTTCACCTCAAACTTTAATATGCACACCATTCACCTGAGAATACTGTTAAAACTCAGGGTCTCACTCAGTGGGCCTGGCCGGGGCCTGAGATTCTTCTACCTGTCTAACGAGTTCCTTGTCGGTGTGCAGGCTTTTGGTTCCTGCACCATGCTTTGTGAGGTAGTGCAGTGACATGACCCTGACCCCTCTCTCCACACAGCCTGTTTTCCTCCTGAGAGTAATGACTATAGACACACCTTCTGCATCTCCCACTGAGGTGCGAATCCATGAAGATCCGAGACCATGTTTTCATGTGCTCTTATACTTCCTGTTGTGGTGGTTAGGTGATGTCAGTGGGATTTGGTGAATACTCTGAGCTCCTGCATCAGTGGGCCAGGAGAAAGGTCAAGGTTGTTGTAGAATTAGGATGTTTATAGTCCTGGGGTAGCAAGAGGGCCAGGGCTGGACTCCCTTCCCATAGCAGGGGTGGTCCTAAGAGCTGACAATTTGTGGTTCTAGGAGGCTCACCAAGATAAGAACTCATCACTGATGGGAGGCTGTCGGAGCCAGGGGATCAGCAAGAAAGGGGTAGATGCGGCAGAGCTTCCCTAAGGTCTGCCAGGTACAATGTATTCCAAGAAACAGCCTGAGCCCTCATCGTGGATTCATGGATGATGCACATATCTTTGTCTTCAGGCGTGTTTCCCACATGTCCCATAGCTCATGAGCGTCTGCGTGATCTAGTAAGAGTATCAAAACCACATTTGCTCACTCCTTTTCTTAAAACTTTCCTAGCGCTTTCTAGTGGCTTTCTAGTGACATAGTGGATTACTAACTGCATGGCCAGCAGTTTGAACCCCCTCTATCCCCTCACCCCCCAGCTACTCAGAGGAGGAAATATGGGGCCTTCCATTCCACCACCGACTGACAACATCAGAACCCCACAGAGGCAGTTCTACTCTGCCCCATAGGGTTGCTATGAATCAGAATTGACTCGATGGAAGCGAGTTGACTTTGAAGGCTTTCCACAGTTCTTCAGGTGAAACAGGTGCTCTCTGCCATGGCTAGGACAGCCTTCCGTCGTCTGAGCTGCCCACCACCACCTGCATGGTCTCAGCAAGGTCTTCTAGGTTCACTCAGGCCACTTTCCCATGTTTCAAACATGCAAATGCAGCACCTTTGCACCAACTCATTTCCTTTAAGCATCGTCACCTCCTTACCTTCCAGGACTTTGGCCACAGACACGGTTTAAACAGCATTGTGGCTCCCAAGTGAGGCATATGCTTGGGTTTTGTAAATTTGACATCGATTTTCTTTTTCTTGGCTTCTAAGGACCCAGTGGAGAGGAGCCTTAGTGGTCCACTGGTTACGTGTTGGGCTGCTGACAGCCAGGTCAGTGCTTTCAAAACCCACCCACAACTGCACGGGAGGGAGATGGGGCAGTCGTGTCCAGTAAACATGTTTAGCTTTGGCTCCCTATGAGGCTGACTTCAGGGTGGTCTGGTGATGCTCTGAGCTCCTGCATCAGTGGGTGCAGTGAGGCCTATGGCTATAGAGCCATGCCGCAGGGGCGCCATGAGTTGTAATCGACAAGGTACAGTGTTGTTTTCTAGTATCCAGCTGAAGTCAGGAACTGTCTGACACTCTGATGCCCCCCAAAAGGGGACAGGATAGAAACTTAGAGACAGACTGGGACTTTCTCAAACCCTCTTAGCTTTCAGTGGAGGTGGGGATGGTGAGGGGTAGGCGTGTCTAGAAATAGACCAGAAGTTATGACTTGTATTCACTGGGATAGAAATGTAGCTCTAGCCACGATGACCAGTATTTACACAGCCCTATGATGCGCTGGCCTGTGATCTGCATGGTCTGCAGTTCAAACCTACCAGCAGCTCTGCGGAAGAAAGACTGGGCTTTCTATACTCCCATCCACAGGGGGGTGCTGTAAGTCATCATGGACTCGATGGTTATGAATAATAATAAATCCTTGGTGGCACTACAGGTTAGGCACGGGGCTACTAACTGCCAAGTGGTGCAAGCCCACCAACGACTACCTGGGAGAAAGACTGCTACGCGTGAAGGATTAACCTAAAGATTTCTTAGAAACCCTGGAGAGGAGTTCTACTCTGTGCGCTAGGGGCGCGCTTTTGGAGCTGGGATCCACTTGATGGCGGTTGTGTGGGCTCCATGGTGGCAATCAGTCCCTGGGGGTACGTTCGGGGAAACACAGGGCTGCTAGTTGAAAGGGTGGCAGCTCAAACCCACCCAAGGTGCCTCAGGAGGCAGGCTTGGCGATCTGCTTCTGCAAAGCAGGACGTCGAAAGCCCAGTGGGGCACAGATCCACTCTCGAGGGAGGTGGCATGAGTTGGAAGCCAATGATGGATCATGAAGCCTCCCACCCTTTTGCCCTGTGGCTGCATCCAAGGCTGCGCATTGCTGCATGCTTCTCCATTTGTGTTGATCTCCTTTTTTAAAAAAAAAAATTTATTGGGGGGAAAAAATAAGCTTTTTGACTCCCGGGGAGGGTGATTTGTAATTTATGGATTTCTCTCTAGAAGTTACAACCAGAACCTAATTTTAAAAATCAAATTGGTTTCATCTAATTAAATTTGGAAATTGCCTCATAAACACATACTCCATTATAAGTGTCTTCCAAAGCAACGTTCCTCAGCTCGCTGTCTGGGGCAGGGTTGGGTTGCGTCCAGCATGGGAGGAGTTCTGGATTTTGGCTCACGGACGTGTCCTCCCAGCAATGGCTTCCACGGCCTGAAGAGCAGCCCACAGGCCAGCAGAGGGCTGCTTACACTCTAACCCCCAGGGGGATCTTGTGAACGGTAGGTTTGGATTCAGTGGGTCTGGGGTGGAGCCTGGAGAGCTGGATTTCAAATAGCTCCCTGGTGATGGCGCTGCTGCTGGTCCATGGACAGCGATGGCGAGGTTTCGGCACCTGCAGCCAGGAGACACGACCTTGCCATTTTGGCTCTGTGGCCTTGGCCTTTTTGCTTTGCCTCTGAGTCTCAATCTCATTTTTATGTGGGGATAAGAGCGACCCTTTAGAACAGCCTTTCCAGGGGCTACATGCGGGGCTAAGCACATATTTAATTTGCTCCTCACAGCAGTCCAGTGAGATAAGCTGTCTGGTTACCCTGGTCCTCAGATGAGAAACCCGAAGCTCTAAACTGGAGTTGGTAGACTGCCTCTTTCCTGAGAAAGGCTGGGCTTTGTGACACCAGCCTGCTCTGAACGGGTGTTCTCGGCACCACCCTGTGCACACAAGATGGTTTCCTCCAGAGACGTGCTGGGTCGGTCCCATTCAGCCTCAATCTTTCTTCCTCCCCAGTCAGTCCTTGGCTGTCTCTGCCGAGCACTTTCTCCCTGATGGGCCAGCATCTTCCCCAGCCCACTCTCAGTAGGTGTGTGGAGGGCACAGGCTTCCACAGCATAACTCACTGGCCTCCACCCACCCATGGGCCTCGCGTCCATGTTTCAGCTTGGAGACACTGGTGTCCTGTCCCACCTCAGACTCCCACCAACCTCCCTCCAGCAGTGATTATTAACCTACTTTACAGAGGAGGAATCTTCTGATGGTCACATGACACTGATGGGGTGGGGGTTGGGGATAGTCGGCGCCATCTTTCTGGCTTCAGCATCTATGTCCTATCCTCTGCTGTACTGAGTTTCTGTATCTCGGACCACAGGCTCAGGCTCTCCCAGAATATAAGAGCTGGGAGGGCAGCCAGCTCTGCCTCTTCTCCCTAGTCGGATCTTACCGATGTCTACTTACGGAGTTGTGTTTTATGGTCTGTTTTTATATTTGTTATGTATGATATATTTCTAGTCTTAGAAAGGAATGTTGTGTTGGCTTAAGGGGTTCATCCCTACCTGTAGAGACACTGCCCATGACAAAGATGTGCCTTTGCTGTTTACTGCTGAGAGAGGAGGGGTTACTTTGAAACCATCACCGGAGGATACAGTGGAATGTACCTTGGGCACAGAGCAATTTAGACCTTGAGGACCCTGTCTCTCTGGAGACAACACTAGGACCCTCTTTGAATCTTAGGAACTGACATGAGCGGGGTGAGAGGCGTGCTTTCCAGATGAGCTCTATCTTCTGCGGGCCAGGCTTGGCTGGCTATTTTTTTGTGCTATGTCAGGAGACTCTGACTTCCTGAGTCCTGACTCTGTGCCGAAGAGATCAATAATCACCAGACTCGGTGCCCTGAGTGCCCACATTTCTTTGTCACTGTAGACAGCAAGAGAGCTCAAGTGTGTGCTTTCTTCCCACTCTCCTCTCAGAAGCATTATGGGAAGTTGTGCCTTCCCCATGTGACTATCCTCAGTCGGGCTCCACGGACGGGGTTTCCACCAACTTCAGGTGGAAGAGGCTAGAATAAAGATAAGCTACTTGATGCCCGGAACAGGCCTCCGTACCTCGTAGAGGGTGATAATGCCATTGGTTTCGTTGGGAGGTTTCCACTGGATGTAGATCTTCTCCTCAAAGGGTCCTCCTTGGATGGATTCGAGGGGAACCGCTCCTGGAACTACAGAAAGGAAAAGTTATGAACTTTGAGGTCACCTTCTTTCTTATTTCCCTGACCCTCCAGCCCTAGGACAGGCACTGGTAAAGTTGGTCTGTGAAGGACCAACGAGCAAGGCTTTCACCGTGCGCACATTATAAAGTCTGCGTTGCAGTTAGTCAACTCTTGGGTGCTGTGGGAGCATCAACGCAGCCGTAGACATCACACATGCAAATGGGGGTGGCTGTGTGTCAATAAATATCAACACTATGGACTGCTCAAAGAACAAATCTGTCTTGGAAGTAGTCAGAGTGCTCCTTAGAGGCAAGGATGGTGAGATTCCATCTCATCTATTGTGGACACATTATGAGGAGAGACCAGTCCCTGGCGTAGGACATCATACCTGGTAAAGCGGAGGAGCAGTGACAGAGAGGAGATGCTCAACAAGTTGGACTGATCGTGGATGTGACAATGGGCTCTCAAGCTTAGGAGCAATTGTGAGGATGGCACAGGTCTGGGCGGTGGTTCATTCTCTTCTGCATTCGGTCACTATGGGTTGGAACCAACTCAGTGGCATCGAACAACAACAACATGTTTCAGTAAAACTTTATTTCCAAAGGCAGGCAGTGTGGCAGAGTTGACCCACGGGGCCACAGTTTGGCCCAGCAGCTGATGGCTTGGCTTCTGCAGGCTGACTGAGAAAGTCTGTCCCAGAACTAATCCTGATCAGCCCACCCAGCCTTACAAACTGGTGGGAACTAAGATCCAGCCTACCTTGTCCTGAGAAACTATTTAGCTGTCTCACTACTCAGCATCCCACGCCTGGTTCATGGTTAAGGCTTAACTATTATGTGCTGGTTATGTCAGTATTCAGCCCTCCTGGGATTGCTTCTGTAGCCATGTCAGCCTTCTGACCAGAAGTCCTTTCTGCTGGAATTGGCCATGAACATGACCATGAAGAAAAATCCAAACCACAAAATCCATGCTGCACAAACTTCCAGCGAGAAACACCCGAAGGGAGTCATGAATTCTTGTGAATCATTACCAGGTCTATTATATTTTGGGACTTTTAAAAGCACTGACTCGTTGATGGGAATTTTATATACATTATTTCATTTAAGCCACAAACAGCCCTGCCGCTGGTGTGCCTGGTCTTTCTTGGTGCTGATCAGTGAACCAAGGCAGGGAGCATCACGTACCTTTTTTCAAGGTCACCCAGCTCCTAAGTTGGGAAGAGAGAACTCAACACCTGCCTGTGAGCCTCCAAGCATATACTCTTAACTGTCACACGATGCCGGTCTAGATATAGCTTTGGGCATATGCTGCAATCAGTTCGCTATTGTTAAATTAAAATATATTTAGTGATTTTCCTCATTAAGGACATGATACAGAGTTTGTTGAATATTAAGAAGAATATCCAGAAAAGATTAAGAACAGAAAAGAACTAAATCTCTCATCACTCCCATCCCTGAAGATAACAAATGCTGGGTCTTTTGGGTTTTTTTTTTGCTCTAGCCTCCTTATGCCTATGCATAAACATGTTATTTTTTAAAGTTTAACTCATGCTGTGCAAACTGGGTTTTTACCTTCTTTTATCACGAAGAAAATCACAGGCTTGTTGTTAATCCTTAAATGTGCTTTGGGGCCCTGTATATATTGGCTGCCTAGGGGAAGGAGGGGAGGGAGACCTGGTGGTGTAATGGTTACACACTGGGCTTCTAATTGCAAGGTCAGTAGTTCGAAACTACCAGCCATTCTTAGTAGGCCAAAATAGATAAAGCATTTTACCTTTAAGGCTCTTGATAGAGCCCAATTATCTTTGAGGAAGTTTGTCACATTCTGGGTGCCCCAATATCAGAACATACCTAATATCTCTGATGCTTGCCAACACTGACTATTCTTAAAAAAACAAAAAACTAGGTGTGTATTTTATATGGGATGAGGGGTAGTTTGTGTGGTTGTGTGTGTTTACCTCAAATCAACCAAACACATTGCCATTGAGTCTGTTCTCACTCATGACCAGCCCTACAGGCCAGAGTAGAACTTCTGTGCGTTTCTGAGGCTGTAGCTCATCTTTCGTCCCTGGAGCAGCTGGTGCTTTCAAACTGCTCACCTTGTGGTTAGCAGCCCAACACATAATCCACTATGCCATCAGGGCTTCATTTTTAGAACCATATACATTAGAAATGTCTTAAATGAGGAAAAATGACCTAAAATATATATTTTTTTAAATCATTTAATTGGGGGCTCATACAACTTTTATCAAAATCCATACAATATCCAGTGTCAAGCACATTCGTATATCTGTTGCCATCATCATTCTCAACACATTTGCTTTCTACTTGAGCCCTTGGTACCTGCTCCTCATTTTTCCCCTCCCTTCCCACTCCCTGCTCCCTCATAAATCCTTGGTAATTTATAAATTATTATTTTGTCATGTCTTACACTGTCTGAAATCTCCCTTCACCCACTCTTCTATTGTCTTTCCCAAAGGAAAGGGGTTATATGTAGTTCCTTGTAATCAGTTCCCCCTTTCTACCCCACCTTTCCTCCACCCTCCCGGTATCGCCACACAAACCACTAGTCCTGAAGGGATCATCTGTCCTGGATTCCCTGTGTTTCCAGTTCCAATCTGTACCAGTGTATATCCTGTGGTCTAGCCAAATTTGTAAGGTAGAATTGGGATCATGATAGGGGGAGGGGAAAGAGGAAGCATTTAAGAACTCGAGGAAAGTTGTATGTTTCATCATTGCTACACTGCACCCTGACTGGCTCATCTCCTCCCCACAACCCTTCTGTAAGGGGATGTCCAGTTGTTTACAGATGGGCTTTGTGTCCCCACTCCGAACCCCCCCTCATTTCCAATGATGTTTGTTCTTTGAAACCTGCCACCTGATCCCTTCGACACCTCATGATCACACAGGCTGGTATGCCTCTTCCATGTGGTCTTTGTTGTTTCTGAGCTAGATGGCCGCTTGTTTACCTTCAAGCCTTAAAGAGCCCAGATGCTATAGCTTTTGATAGCTGGGCACCATCAGCTTTCTTCATCACATTTGCTTATGCACCCGCTTTGTCTTCAGCATAGTGTCAGGAAGGTGAGCATCATGGGATGCCAGTTTAATAGAACAATGTGTTCTTGTATTGAAGGAGTACTTGAGTGGATGGCCAGTGTCCATATTTTTAAAGGATAAATTTGTATTATATATTTAACTTTTCACTTTCCTATCATGTGTATGGGAGGAAATAATGTTATAATGTCCATAAACAAAGATATTTTCTTGATTGACCTATCATCTATCCATATCCATTAAAAAATCACTAATGTACATATAAGGGGGCATCATTTTGGGGTGGGTAAATTTCATTATCATTTAATTCAACATCCCCATAGACTTTGGGAAGCTCCCTATACAAGAAGAAAAGGCAAAAGTAGACAAGACCTTCCTGAACTTGGAGAACATGAAGTGTACACAGTTGAAAGCCTGTCTTAACCAGATCTCTAGATTTAGAAATATGCATGCATTATAAAGGCGTTGTGTTGTTCAAACCCACCAGCCACTCATTGGGAGAATTGTGAAGCTGTTCACATAAAGATGATTGACAGTCTGAAAAACTCTGCATAGGGTTGGTGTGAGTTGGAATTTATTTGATGGCAGTGAGATTTTGTTTGTTTTCGTTTCTAATAGTCTAAAAGAAATTTCCCAAGTGGGTGGTGCTAGAATGTTCCAGGGGGCTGCAAAAGCAGATGCCTATACTTTATCTTTGATTATGGGCTACAGTACAAGAGTTTTTAATTGACAGAGGGCCACTGGAAACTTTTTTTTTCTGAGAAGGGTGCTTCAGGCCAAATAATTTGGGAACCTATGGTCTAATAGAATAATTGAACAACAAAAAGAACATAGAAACCATCCCATACATGCATGGGTAGTATGGCCAGTCAGTTAAAACTTTTTTTTTAAGTGAGAGGGGCTAGGATAATTCATTTACATTGGAATAATTAAAATAAGATTCCCATCCCAAACATTGTCATGAGTCAAATTGTGTTCTCCCCAATATGGGTCAACCTGGCTAAGCCATGATTCCCCATGTATTGTTTTTCCCTAGTTTGAGATGTGTTGTAAATCCTAACCTCTGCTAAAATTATACTACAGAGGATTAGGGAGCCCTGATCATACCTTGGGCTGCTTAATGCAAAGTCAGTGCTTCCAAACACCAGCAGCTCTGAGGGAGAGTTTTAGAAACCCACAGGATTTCTGTACTGAACTGTAGGCTCAGTTCTATAATGTCCTATATGGTTGCTGTGAGTTAAAATCAACTTGATGGGACTCCACTGGAAAACACTCATAAAGGCCAATTTTTGTCAGTGGCTTACTTTCTGTTGTTATTTTGTTTTGGTTTTTGGGTTTTTTTATTGTTGTTGTTGTTATTGTTAGGTTGGTTTTGACTTCCTTTGCCGTTTTGTTTGGCTTTGCCTGGTTTTTGCACTTATTAATGTCTCTGCATGTCTATTTAGGTAAGACAGGCAGGATAAACAATTCGGAGAGAAAAGAATGGGACCAGAGGTTCGGGGTGGATATGGGAGAAGGGGAGGTGGGGAAAAAGGAAGGGGAAGTGGGAAACCAACTCAGGGACAAGGGAACAACAAGTGAACTAAAATCAACGGAGAGAAGGGCACAGGATGCCTAGTGGGACTTAACCAGGGACAATGTAACAGCGAAGAATTTAAAATCCTGAATGAAGGCCAAACCTGATGGTGGGACAAGAGGCAAGTAAAAGGAAATAGAGGAAAGAACCAGGTGTCAAAGGACATTTATAGAGGTCTAAACACAGGCATGTACATATGTAAATATATTTATATATGATGATGGCAAAATAGATCTATGTGCATATATTTATAGGTTTAGTATTAAGGTATCAGATGGACATTGGACCTCCACTCAAGTACTCCCTCAATGCAAGAAAACTTTGTTCTTTTAACCTGGCACTCCATGATGCTTACCTTCTTGACACCCTTGCTGAAGACA